CGGACTTCTTTAATATTTCCCATTCTCCAGCCAAGAAGTTTTGTCTGGAGGGATTAATCCACGTTCAAGTGAAGCATCATGGCTCAGTAGCACGTAAAAGACCCTTAGTCCTAGCTCTTCTGTCTATTAAATGTACCGTCGGCCGAGCGTTCGTCCTTGAAGGCGCCTTGGTGACACCCAGTTTCCTTCTCATTCAGTTTGTTGGGTGGTTTAGGCATTAGTGGCTGTCATCTTCTTTGTCACATCTGATTAGGGAAGCATCCCAGGTCAAGGTGCCTGCTTGTGACAAAACTACAACGTCGAATGTTTTCTCTAACGATGATCTGTTCGAAGAGAAACTCGACGAATTTCAGAAGCACATTTGGAATCGACGTTAGAAATTACTTCTGACGTGAAGATCTCATCACAAAGGCCACTTCAACCTGGCTCTTCCTCAGAGAACAGTACCATCTTCAGAATGTTCTAATCCACTGTCAGGAACCGTCGCGGACGATCTTCCTTGGTGAGCTCACATCCCCAATCTGAAAACAGACCCATCGGAAGCACTGAGTCTCCTTTGTCTACGTTCGGTCTTAAGAACTTGCATAAGGTCTAGAGGCTTCAAAAGGCTTTGTCACTCCTGTACCCATAAGTATTATAATATTCCTAGCTAATTATACTCCATAAAATTTCTTGATAAAAGTATTCAATCTAAATAGGTGATATGGGCCAATGCCACGGATTGTGTTCTTCCAAACTGGCACAACGTCATCTCCAAGAAATGTGTTGTGAAAAGTCACAGTAAAGAGGGTGCGTATCAATATTCCTCAATATAGTCAGCGGCAATTTTTGTGTAAATTGTGTATTATTTGGTGAACTGCTAAAATAGTATCAAGAATTGGAACATGCTCGGGTTATGATAAATATCATGAAGAGTTCTGTGTCAGCGAGTACATCTACTTGACTTTCTCACTACTGCTACACCCTTTCACGTTACTTCACTATGTATGGCTGCACTACTTGAGTCTCTCACCTGATCAGCTGGTTGCGGTCCCTCGCACTTTCTGCAGCCAGGGTTTCGTAAGTCCACCAATTTGCACGGATCACAGGCGAATCGTACTGAAAGAATTCATTGCGAAAGGCTGTCTTATCTAGTCCGGACCACTTGGTACCACACGCTCAACTACAGTCATGGTTTCTGCAAATGGTAGAGCATGTGAAGGGACGTGACTTGAAGCGCAGCCAGAACAGCCTTTCAATTTTTGCAGATTTAGGATAACATCATTGGTGAAAAATAGTGCCTTGGCAGCGCTTCAATCCACGCCCCGTCACATGCCATATTGCGAGAATTATGACTGTACGCACAGTCTACGTCGCTGAGACGCGACAGAGTAACGCATACTTCATTTGAACATGGTGTGGGATGGGATTCGTGGAGCGTTTCAGTTTGAGACGACTTTCTTTTTGTTGGACAAAGACGTCATTACAATCGTTCCAGTATGAGAATA